AGTCCTTCGCAGCCACCCCCCTCCTCCCACGGCTCTCCTCTCACCGGAGAGGCCCTGAGGTGGCTCCGTCTCCCACCCGACAGCCGGCCTGCAGGGCTCTCCCGGAGGGCACCTGTACGAGTCAGGCAGGGCCAGGCCCTCCTGTCACCTCCCAAAGGTCACCGAGTGGAAAGAAATGTCTCATCGCGCCCAATTTCCTTGGTGTTCTCTACCGGACTACAAGTGTATGTCACCATTAAGTGCAATTATCAAGAAAATTAAGATGGCAGGACTTTCACTTTTACGTTAAGAATAGGGAGCGACTAACGCGTAGGCAAACCAGCAGAGCTCCTGCCCCAGGCCCGGCGGCTTCTCCCCCACCGCATCGGGAGGACCAAGCCCGACGCTTCCCCTTCTCACAAAAACGAGGGGTAAAAGCCCCGCTGCCCCTGTACGGGACGGAGCCACCCCCGGACACGGTGCCTGTTCCAGCCACGCCAGAGAAAGCCGAGAGCGGAAGGCTTCCTCGCCTCCCATGCCGCTCCCCGCTCTCCCACCCGGGCCCCCGAGGTTCACCCAGGCATCGTTTCACAGCACGCAGACATCGTCCTTGACTGGCAAGAGATGCTGTCTTCAGTTGAAAAGTTCATTAATTAGGAGCAGAGAAGCCTCTAGTGAATCTCCCAGCAAGAAGCAGGGGAAAAAAAAAAAGTTCCCCCACAATTCAGTCTAATTACAACGCCTCGGGGCACTCCACAGTCACTGCGAAGCAGAAGCCAAAATTTTTCTCCCCACCCCTAAGAGCAGGAACTTTAACCCAGTTATAGTTTTAGTGATAATTAAAAAAAAAAAAAAGCCCCGATAGTTATCATTTTAACTATTCCGCAAGTAACAGCAAACGGGAGGCGCTGAAAAAGCCTCCGGCAGAGCAGCAGCTGGCGGCACGCGGGAAGGATCCCCTCGCGCACCCCCAGCCCGGACCCTCGAGCAGGCGAAGGCCGAGGCCAGGCCCCCGCCCGGCCGCGCCACGGCCCGCAGCCGCTCTCCGGGCATTCGGCAACCGCTTTCCACCCACAGGCAGAGCGACTCCGCACATGAGGCACCGAGCAAGGCCTCAGATGCCACAGCAGCTCCGGCCCCGGCAGGGCAGCACCTGGGAGACCCGGGGAAGGACTCCAGCTGCCTGGACAGAAGTTTCCTTTCTTCCCGGCCCCCGGAGGAGCCGGACTCCAGCCCACCCCAAGCCTCTGGCGAGGCAGGGTGGATCCAGCCGCAGACAGGCAGCAACCACACCCTGGCGGCTGCCCGCGCCCTCCTCCCCGCCCCAGCCAGGCAGGGGCACGAACAGGGACTAGGCTTATACAGTTGAAAATATTTAATACGTGTTGTACACGTACAATTACATTTTATACAAAACAAGATACATCACTGAAGAGGAACACTGTACAAAAATCCCTACGGGAGCCCCAAGCCTTTATACAACAAAGACCGGGAGTTACCAAGCCTAGCAAACAGGCTCAAGGACTTTCCCTCAGAGCGTCTGTAAACTTCGTTTCTCTCAATAAACACTTTTAAAAAGCACCATGTAATAGTTCTAACCTAAACCTTTCCAAAATAGAGACTTTATTTAATAAACTTAATACTTTCCAAGCTTAAAATATTACCCGCTGGGAGCGCCCCCGGT